TGTGGGTGAAGTGTCTTGCCTAAGGACACAACTGCAGTTTGGCACTTTTCAGCCTGTCACAATAAATTACAGTTATTGAAATGACTTTGTGCTACTGGTGTAATCACAAAACAGCGGAATGAATGAAACATTTGTACAACGTCTTTACAGAATAATTGTTGGAGAAAATAGCTGACATCTTCTCACTATTGCAATTTTTTCATAATAATTCATCAAAAACATGAATCTGACCTATTACTTAGCCTTCCCAGCTTTGGTTCGAACCAGGCAAGAATTGCAATCGAAAGACAATCCGAATAAAATAAATGAGTTAGCTGCAGACACAAAAAATCCGCAAACACACTTTACACAAACGTAAATATAACAATGGATATCTTCAGGTTTCTTTCTCCTTCTTTTCTGTGAATACTTTTGTTTAACCAAAAATAATACATTTAGTTAAAAGCGCCTTTCTAAACACCCAAGGACACTGTACAGGACATAATAAAAACATTAAAAACAGGAGCAACAGAATAAAACAGTAGTCAAGTGCAATATGGAATGGTGGGCGTGTGTGTTAGTTGGGGTAGGACAGTCTGATGGGTTTTGAGTCTGGATTTTAAGAGTGGAAGAGAGTCAATGGTACGGAGATCAGGGGGGGGGAGTTCCAGAGCTGGGGGCAGAGTGGCTGAAGGCTCTGTGTCCCACGGTGTTGAGTCTGGCTGGGGGGACGGAGAGTGTGAGGGTGGAGGAGGAGCGGAGTGTGCGGGCAGGAGTGGCAGGGTGGAGGAGGTCATATAAGTACGGAGGGGCCAGGTTATGAAGTGCTTTGAAAGTGGTGAGGAGTATTTCTAAGTTGATGCGTTGTTTAACCGGAAGCCAGTGGAGTTGTTGTAGTACGGGGGTGATGTGGTGAGCTGTGGGGGTCCGGGTGATGATGCCAGCTGCAGAGTTTTGGAGGAGCTGCAGTTTATACACATATTTTAGTTACATTTTTAACAGATTTAGCTTACACACAAATGAAATTCTAACCACTTGACAACGAGTCCGACCCTCTACTTTAAACCAGTATCTAAACGTGGCCCCCGGAAAAACCCAATTCCCCACCCTGCTCTTGTGTATAGTGTTATAATACCAGCACCCTGGCACAACTGTCCACTCCTTCACGAGTTGAATTTCATTATCACAACACGTCCCATTGAACATCACCTTTCATGGATAATATGCAATAGCTGCTGGCTCGATGACGTTCTCATTTACAGCACTGCTCTGGCCATATTAGTCCAGTAAGAGTTAGAGTAAACACGTGAACTGCTCAGTGCCTGATGAAAAGGGACCGTGTCATTCACCCAGGAAAATGTATTCATGTCCTCACTTAACACTGTGCATCTGATGTGGGATTATCCAGGTCCTCTGTAGTTATGCACTTGTGTTTATTACTCACTGACAGCATTGGTCTAGTTTGTCTCCTCTCCATGATCCATGCAGGGAAAGTAAGCCAAGTGGATAGGACCTTGTTTATCCCCTGAGAAATGAAAGGCTTTTGTTTTCATACAGTGTAGAAGTCAGAATGTGAGATGTGTGCAAGAGCTGTTTGTATTATTGCTTATTAACCCTTTGGATGTGAAATAGACAAGAGGTGGAGCCAGAAACTACTCAAAGGACTACTGTATGTGCTAATAATAATGCATCGGTTTTATACAGTGGGGGCGGGTCCCGGCTCAAAAATGTCCAAAATGACATGAGCTGACATGCTTGCAATACCACCCCGGACCGATGGGGGTGGACCCGGAATAAGAATTAGCCAATGCTAATGTATAGCATCTTCCTATCTCTCGAAAACACCTTCACAGGATTTTCCATAAGTTGGCTTTTGGCCCAAAGCCCCGTCCCACATGTGTGCCAATGCAGATGTGTTTTTTCACATTTTACTGCCCCGCAGCCATTTTGAAAAGCCCCATAGAAGTGATGGCACATTAGTTTGAACGACGGAGACAGGCATGACTACGTCCATTTATATTTACAGTCTATGGTTTTATTTAGAGCTTTTCAGGACACTCAAAGATGCTTCAAATGTCATTATTCTTTCACTCCATACACGGTGGTGATTTACTGTAGCCACAGCTGCCCTGGAGCTCACTGACAGAAACGAGGCAACCAGTATGTGCCATCAGCCCCTCCGACCACCACCTGCCATACACACACACACCAGACTCACTCTATGTAATGTGGGTGAAGTATCTAAGGACACAACAATAGTGTTGTTCCCAGAAGTCTCCCATCACAGTACTAACCAGGGCCTTCCCTGCAAAGCTTCAGATGTCTGACGGGATCTGGATTTTGCATGCAGCTGTGGACACAACTGGTGCTATCAGTTAAATGTTTGCAATTGCAAGTGACATTTGATTTACACCACACCGAAGGATATGCTATATATTTTGTGGCAGATGTAAGTGTCTTTTGTAACATCTGAGAAACTGAATTTCTCCATTGTGAGATCAATAAAGTATATCAAAGGTTTATATATATATATATCTGCTAAACTGATCATTTAAGTAGTAATTTTGTTCCTGCAAATGAACTGTAAAAAGACAACATGGTTGTAAACCCCATGCATCGTGTGATATTCTGAACGGTGAACACCCACATAGATCCAAGGCAGATCACGGCTCAATGCTTTCTGTAAAAACCATCTTGGCTTGAGAAAGTGTGGGCACACCTGTTCTAGACACTGTACAAAGCAATAACAAAAGAAGAGATTGAGAAGCCAATCCAAAGATATCCAATAATAAATAATCCAAAGACGTTCTTTTTAGAGAGTATTGGATTAATATAAACGTTTTACTTCATCCAATCTCTTTTCAAACCAAATGAAGGGACATTTAGAACAGGGACAAATGTGCGGTTAATTGCAATCATTTGCGAGTTAAATATGGCATTAATGTGACTAAATATTTTAGTCATTGGACAGCACTGCTAAAAACAGAAAAAAGTTGCCTCCTTTTTTTCCCTTTCATATTTGTAGTATATTTGTCTACGTATAGTTGTGTGCGTATGTACATGTATGTGCCTCTATTTTCCTTACGTCTGTGATAGGTTTACTTTCTTTAGAATCAGAATCAGAATCATTTTTATTGCCACGTGAGTAACAAAGTTATCACTTGGAAATTGTCTTGGCAGAGAGCGTGCCACTTCGCCATTTGCGGCGCTGTGTGCAGCAAGAAACAGCAGAGAGCAATAACATTCAGGTAACAACAGACAGTTGGATAGAAAACATTGTGCTTTGTATAAACCACGGATTTTTTTCACGGGATGAGCACCTCCGGCCTGCCGGTCCAATGTGGCTGTCAGAGGGGGGCGGGGTCAGGGAGGGGGTGAGTCGGAAACACAGTAAAGGAGGGGAGGGGAGGGAGAGATCAGAGGGAGGCGGGGGGAGCGGGATCCAAACTGGAAGACTGAAAGAGTGTGAAATTTTTGTAGAGACCAGATTTATTATGATGGCCTTGGCCCGAGGAATGTGAGATAAGAGAGGAGGGAAGACACAACAGGGAGAGAACACATCTCCTGTAACGAGGGACAATATTGTATGCAGTTTAGCAGTCAAAAACAGGCAGATATTCTATTAAATCCAATTAGACCAAATTACAGCGCCCTCAGACCCCGTACACAGGGGCAAATCCAAGCCGGGTCAGAGAGTTCAAGCCTGGCAGACAATGTCATTCAATCTCAATTCCAGAGTCTTATGACCATCAAGTGAACGAGCTGCGAGATCTTTGATCAACTGTTCCACTAACACCACTCTTCGTTGTCCAGCCACAGCGCTCTCAACCACGACTCGGTTAAGCTCCTTGTACATCCCATCAATTTTTCCGGCCAGCAGGTCGTGAATCTTGCGAACTGCCATGCCTCCGAATTTGTGGTAGAAGAGAACCGCTCCAAACCCAAACAGGAGGATCCCCACCACCAAAATGCCAAAGATATATACGTCTTCCGAATCTTCAATGGACAGGGTCGACAGACAGAGGGGCTGAAACTTGTTCCAGCTGTCAAGCGTATACCCCGCTGGTGAAGTCCCGTCCGGGCACACGGGCTCTCCAGACCCGCGCTTACGTGTTGAAAAGATACGTTGTTTTTTTCCAAATATGTCAGGAAAAAAAAATCCATAAAATAATCCCTAAAACTTTAGAGCTAAAGGACTACTATATATACTAAAAATATTAATATATCTTTATAAAAATGTACGGAAAATGCAGGGAAGTGTTTGTGAGAAACCAGGTCGCTGTATAGAAATTCTCTGGATCCGAGAGGTCATGTAGCAATCATAGGCACAACTTCATGTAACAAGATACTCCTACATATTTTTTGCGCTGGGAAAAACTAAATATTCTTCAATAAGAGTGGTGGAGAACATGGTTCATGTTAAAACAAGTGTATTTATTGTTATACTGAACATTGCAAGATCAGTGAGAACTTTATTATTATAAAAGATGAAGCAAAGACTGTATTGGATGATTTTCAGTAACACAAGAAATCTCCTCAAAGAACATGAATACAGTGTCAGAACAGCATTTTCAAGGAAATTGGAATACAATTTGATTCAAAAGACACCCTTTATGGGCCAATATCAAACAGACAATTCAATAGAAAAATGCATTTTGTCCTTGGTCTGTAGCAAACTCCGTGGAATGTAACATTTTTGACTTGAGGTATGAAACCAGCATTCAGTTAAGTCCCTGTAAACGGTTTGGTTAAGAGGCACATGATTACCAGAACCCTTGTAAAGAAGTCCCAAAACCTACATCTACCCTAGAACACAGCATTTGCATAAACGTAGTGAGTTCCCTTAATTAAAGCAGAAGATTATCAGCAGCAAGACTAGAAACAATCATAGCATGTGAATCAAATATTGTCTTTCAAACTACATCTTGTCCCATATAAAGAATAAACCGTGATATTGATTTAAAGGCAGAAAAGTTGGAGTCAAATCCAACTGCAGCATTACTAATAATCTGGTCGGTAATTTACTGAAGAGGCGCCAAAGCAGCTGGCAGGGTTTCTTCACACCGGCCAGAGAAGTGATACCTGCCACAGAAACACAGGAGATTTTAAGTATAGAGGAAATAAAATAAACATCATATACCTGCCAATTAAAAACTCATCTCCACCCTGAGATTTCAACAGCGTCCATCTACATATCTACATCAGGGGCGTCAAACTCATTTTGGTCAAGGGCCGAATAAAAACAAGAGCTGGTTTGGGGCCGAAAGAATGGGCTCTATGCACGCACCACTTCCGCGTTTTAGTTACAACCCCACTTTGTTCTTTGTTTACAGGAAATGACGTCACGCCTCCCCGTGCATATAGCCCATAGATGAGATTTCCTTTTTCTTATCATTGTTTTGACCTTTATTTGACATTTTTCTAAAATCAAAATGTGTTTATAGTTTAGATTTAACCAAAACTGGACCCAATATATAGTTAAACACATTGTTCTATATTACATTATTTAATATTTAAATAATTTAAACAATTTAGAATAAAATAACATGCCTTGGTAGCCCATAACCATCAATGATGCTCAAGTTAATAATAATAATTCAAAATAATTTTAGGGGCCACTACAAACAGTCTTGTATTTGGCCCACGAGCCTGAGTTCGACATAACTGATATAAGAAAAGATAAGATAGACTTAATAGATCTCACACTGGAGAAATGTACATGGACATTTGGCCTGGAGAGAGTCACTCAGATTGTGATTGTGACTTTCGAATGGACAGAAAGGTAAAACATGTAAAAGGTGAAAAATATATTCTGTGCAGGAAATAATTATGTACAATAAAAAAAGTGGCAAAAGCAGTGCAGTTTTTTTCAGTCCTAGTGCATTAGTGACTTAAAGTGACTTTTTATCTACATTGACCGTATATGAAGCTCTGTAAAAGCCCATGCAGTTCACTGGGTGTTAATCAAGAGGGGGAATCCGACACAGGAGAAATATGTGGACAAATTGAAAAGATTGTTTAAGTTAAAAAAAATTCATTGTCAAATCCGGTTATTCAACAATTATTGATAAAGTTTTGAGAAAAGAATTGAGAAAAGAAGTGATTCTGCCATGGTATCCGCTTGTCTCATGCTTGTATTTCTATCATTTAACATTCAAGACGAATGCAAAAACTGCCTTACGTAAAGTATTCTGTTTTTGGACTTGCACTCAGGTTGAACTCTGCGACATGAACGCCTCTTGAAGCCACTCGAGGTCCAAACATGGCCGCCGGGTAGACAATGGAAGATGTACCGACCTATCATAAAATATTGAGATTTAGAAAAACATGTAGATTAGCAAGTCCAAACACAGATGTAGATGGAGGTAACTCACCACTAAACACAGATCACAATCTTCCAATTCTTTCTCCACTTTGGTCAAAATGTGTGAATCCAGAGTCTCCCCGAAAAACACTACATTGGGCCTCAGCAGACCATGGCAGTCGCTCTTCTTACACCTTCAGAGCATCCAGGATAAAAAAAACTAGGATTTATAAGTAATGGGTTTACTAATAATAACAAATAAACAATATATAGTTACAACATCAAATATAATTGATACAAATGTTGATGTATACACGTGTAATGATTTAAATACAAAAAATTAATAACTAAAGAACTTTTAAATCAATTCTGAAGCTCAACACTGCCCCCAGCAGGACAGCATATGTCATGACCATTGGCAGTGAGACAGATTATTTAACAGAATGATATTAAGTAACGTAGACCTGGGTTTGTACAGACCTGGGCAGTTTATCTACAGGGATCTGAGCATCTGCAACATCTGCTTCAGGAGAGCTGCGAACAAAGAAACCAAGTGATTTAAACAGCTGTTCAAACAGAATGGAAATGATGAATAATTCCAGAGAGTCCCACCCTGTGTCTTTCAGAGCGGGGCATATGGGACTGTGCCTGTTGGCGTGCACGTGGCCACAGCTCACACAGCGAGTCTCCATCAGATTACCTGTTTAGTGACACACAAAACACATATTTTTATTTGGACTTCTCAGGCAGACTGGAGATCGCTTTCTCACTGCTGCTTAAAATAATAATAATAATGATAATAATGCATTGGTTTTATACAGGGCTTTTGGCACAGATTGGCACTTCACAGCTGCAGCCGCCCCTCCGACCACCACCAGCCATTCACACACACACCAGATCATTCTAGGCAATGTGGGGGAAGTGTCTTTGCCTAAGGACACAACGTCAGTTTGGCACTTTACAGCCACAGCCGCCCCACTGTGGCATCCGGTGTTCCCAGAGGTCTCCCATCACAGTACTAACCAGGTTCCTCCCCTGCACAGCTACAGAGGTCTGACAGGACATGGCTTTTGCATGCAAGTCTGGCCACAATATTGTCTTCTTAAATAAGTTAAAAACAATTCATTTTTTAAGATAATTCTTCCTAGTGATGTACAGGAGGGCTCATTTCTAACATTATTCAAGCTAAAACTTGTTTAAGCTCAAAACTGTTTTTAAAAAGTGTTAATTCTGACATTCAGTGTTTTTTGCATTATTGTTTTACCATATATTTTTATAATGCTTGTGAATGTGTATGATTCTATGTAAACCACTTACAAAGTTGCACAGCATGAATAGTGCTTTATAAATAAACTTGAGTGAAACTTGATTGATATAGTCGTTGTACTTTTCCATTCATTTTTGACCAAATAAGATCAAAACAACATGAGGAGAAGTAGAAAGTGGACAAGTCTTTGGTTTTTGGGTAAATATACACGTAATATGTAGAATATTACTACTGCAGTTAAAGCCATAATAAAAAAAGCAGTCCACACCACTCATTCCGGACCACTGGTTGAAATTACTGGCAGAATGAATCACTGTTTTCCCAGTTAAACCAAGAGAACGTGGATTCCAGTAACCACTACCATGGCCTACGCTGTGTTTAGAAACGACCAGACGCAAAGCACGTCGTGAAGAGCTAAAAGTATCGTTTTGACATTTTGTTGTTGTCTGTTGGGTTCTGGTGATAAGGAATGCTTTCCCAATAATTGATTTCACACACGCACTGACGAGCAAAGGTTTCAGTTCCCGTATGAATTCTTCTAACATTTACTTACTGCTCTTTTGTGGCTTATTGTCTCTTTTTATAAGATTAGATAACAGTTTATGCAAGAAAGAGCCCTGAGTGTCACTGTTAGAAGTCCTCTCTTTTACTCTTTTCTGTCTGAAATCTATGATAAGTTCATTTTGCTGTGGTAGGAAAGTCAGGCACCACAACTTTAAGTAGGGGTGCAACGGTTTGAAAAAAAATCACGGTTTCGGATCGTACCTCGGTTCAGAGGCCACGGTTCGGTTCACTTTTCGGTTCATAAAAAAAAAAACAATTAAAAGTTTTGTCTTTTTAGTAAACACGGCTCATGTGGGCTCGGCACCTGCAGGAGGATCAGGGGCTGGTGCTCTGTGTACTGGGTGCAGCTCTGACTGCCACCCCCCTGACCTAGAAATGGATTAAGGGGAAGGAAATGGATGGATGGATGGAAGGCATATTCCATCCATCCAATTATGTCTTTTTAACATAATTAATGAAAAACAACACAAAGTGCAACATAAGAAGGCACTTTATGAGGGTATTTACCCTCATATATTAAAGCACCTTTCTGATTCTCCCAAGGAGGCGGTCCACCCTGGGCCCAGTCCAGCCTCATTCACTGCATTTATTTAATTTTTAGCATTATCAATTGTGACTGGGATATTAGTACTGGACCTTTGTCTTCCATTCCTCCGCTGCTTGTGTCAGTACTGTACCTGCGCTGTGTGCCTGTGTGACTTTCGTAGAGGGGGCGTGTCTGCAGAACCGGACTTCTCATTTCCCAGTCTGCGGTGATAAAGTGAGCGGTTATCGTAACATAGCTCTCCGTTCTGCTCATGAATCTATTATCGGTTCCGCAGGACGTCCAAGCGTCAGTCGTGAGCGCAACTGTGGATGCGCGGGAGAGTTGACTTTAGTCCGGTCTGACTGTGCATAAAGGGGCTGCTTAAATCCCGCAGCAAACCAAACCGCGGATCACGTCTGTACCGAACCGAAGACGTTGATCCGAACGGATCACGGATCAGTGATGAACCGTTGCACCTCTAGCTTTAAGTTAGTTTCTTATTTCAGTCTCTTCATTCAGAATACAATAAACAAAGCATAAACCAATGAGTGAATGGGTTTTGGCTGAAGTGAAACACGTATTGAAGTCAAGAATGTAGCTGTTCCTTTGCATTTTATTTATGGTATCACCGATGAGACAGCAGTGTCACGAACCCAGGCTAGCCTCAGTCCGGGTAATTATCCCTAAAAGGAATCCAGATTTCTGAAACCATGATTATTCCCAGAGCTGTCGTTTTGACGGCTGTCATTCAAACTGATGGAACTCTGAAAAAAAATTGTATTAAAAAGTAAATCAGGCTACCTTTACTCCATTTTACTAAGTGCTAAAAATGGTAGATACAACTGAAATATAGCAGCAACACTTGTAAAGGCTAAACACTAACTGCTGACAGTAAACGGTATGTTGCTAAGGTAACCAGCACTTGCTCTGAACCAGGACCAGTTCAGGACCAGCACCTCGGAGAAAAGGGGCTTTCACGATGATAGAATGTTGGTTGCCAAGAGATCAAAATGGCTACATTTTAATTTGACATCTAATAGGTAAAGGTAGAACATCCATCAAATAATGACATAGAAATAAACTACATATAAAAACAGACAAAGTCAGATATGACGACCACAAATGTACATGAGCAATAACACTTTGACAAGCCTTCAAAATGACTAATAATACACGTGTGTAATGCAAAGACAAAAATCTAACCGTGGATCTTGAGCACGCGCTTGGACCCGGCCTGCAGGTGTAGATCGTCCACGCACTGAGTGATCACGACCACATCCTTTCCCCGCGCCCGCAGCCTGGCCTCGCACTCGGCGATGGCGTAGTGTGCCGCTGTGGGCTTCTTGTCCATCACCAGCTCTCTCCTGTAGTGGAAGAACTCCCAAACACGAGAGGGGACACGGGAGAAGGCCTCTGGAGTGGCCAAGTCCTGTGAAGACATCCGCTTCTTTATTAAGCTTAACGATACAGACTTTATACAGTACTTAAATGTATATAGGATAATTCCCCCAAACTTTAGGAAAGAACCGCCCTCTCCCCATTTTGAAAAAACTCTTTTCATGTTTGATGAGCACCAGAATGATTGACATCTAGGAGGACCAATAGTCTTGATGATCACTCGGAAGTAGAAAATCCTCCTGTATACTTTTAACTCTTGCTTCTTCATCATGCTAGCTGGAGATTTTAGATTTGCTTCATTAATATGCTAAAGCTAAAGATTTTATACTTGCTTCTTTATTATGCCAAAGTTAGAGATTTAATTTTTGTTTTGACTTATTGTTCATTTATCTTGTGTTGTGTGCTCCTCATTCCAACTTCTTGTGAAAAAAAGATCATTGTGGTCAGTCATTCAGACCAATCAGCAGAACATTGAAATACAGGGATTATTTTACACCCCTTTGTTCAGAAGAAATCAAAATTACGATGGGTCAGAGAAGAGCATACTCTGTGGTATTTATGCTACTGTAATACCCTACAACTACTGCATTTAAAATACTCCATTCGGTTTCTTACTTTCTTTGATTCATGTTTCACCCCTCCACCACTTACATAACAAAGAACATTCATGCTATTGAGCGGCGAGAATGTGTTATGCAAACAGAAAATACACCCACACTACGCTCTACATTCACAAAATCTGATCTAACAAATGGACAGCTCTGGTCTACAAATCGTACACACCTGAGTTTTCCACTTCCTCCATGTTTCGTGCTTTCCTCGAAACGTCGGCAGGCCACTCGCAACTGCAATGCCTGCTCCGGTGACAATAGCGATGTGGTTGGCTTTGGCGAAGTCCCGACGAAAATCATTCATATCTAGTATAAAGTAGAGAGTTACGTGAATGTGTGTGGGTGTGTTTTTTATTTTCAATGACAACAATTGAACAGTTGATGTATTTTCGGTTCTCACTTGAGCTGGGTCTTGGAGCTTCTGTCTTTGGGCCAGTAGCAGCATGACCAGAGCACATGCGAAGGCCAAGGGTAAACATACCACGTCTTTGGAGAAGCATTGTGGCTCTTTGGATGAACAAACACAAATACACACACACACACACACACACACACAATAAAGACACAGTGGAGCTAGTTCATTATGATATTGTGATATTGGATGGCGCTGAGAGCAAGTAGACCGAGCCTGGAATCATATCAAGATCAGGTTACACTCAGGTGGACTCTACCTAATAGTTTGGTCGACGTTTTTAAAAATCCATGGTGGGATAAATGGATTATAAACCCATTGGAAATAAAAAAAAAAACTCCTTATGCAAACCAAAGTTCTAGCTTGACTTACACTTGCTTATTTATTGCACTAAAGATAGAAACGTTATGCTCACTTCTTTTTATGCCAAAGTCTGAGATTTTATACTTAATTCTTGCTTTTTCATTAAGCTAAAGCTAGAGATGTTAGACTTGCTTCTTTAGTATGATAAAGGACTTTTTTCCCATTAAAGAGTTACTGTTCATTTATCTTGTGCTGTGTGCTCCTCATTCTTGTTCTATAACTGGTGATGCAACACTGAAATTTCCCCACAGTGGGAAGAATAAAGGATCTCTTTGTCGTAATTTACTAAGGGGAACAGGGTACGCATTAGTGGTAAATGTCTATAAGGGTCAGTACATATATTTATTAACTAGTTAACCCGTAAACGTTTTTTCATGAACAAACAGAAATAAATAAAAGAAATAATGTAAGTGACACGTCTGTAGGAAGCCAGGTCGCTGTATAGAAAGTGTCCTGGATTAAGGAGTTCATGCAACTGTTGGCTCCTAGAGGGTTACTAAATACTAGAGTAAATCCAATTAAAAAGTTTGTCAACTACTCTTGAGCCCTTATTTTGGTTGTATGACTCAAGACCTTAGCTTTGAATGTGTATGATTGTATTGTGTATTATGAAACATGTTCTCAGAAAAGATTAGTGAATTAAAGTATGTGTCGGCGCACCCAAACTATGCATAATGTAAAACAGGTCCAACAGCAGAAGCAGCATCTGAGGCTGACAGAGGAATAAGCTCAGATCTCAGTGCAAAGTTGTTTTATAGGTTGTTGTGAGGGTTCACTTTGGATGTAGGTCAGGATATGTAAAAACACATTGTGCATAAGTTCCGTGTCGTTCGCAAAAATGCATTAGCCCAAATCCACACACGTCCAAGCAAAACTAAGCTGATCACAAAACCGAATGTAAACTTTTGCAGACAGTATATGACCTTTATATCCTTTTTAATACTAACTTACCTACAGGCCTGGGTCACCAACGTAGCCACTTGAGGATAGAAAAGGCCAAACGAAGCTTATGTTTACTTGTTTTGAAACTGTCGTAAATCACACAACTGTCGTAAAACAGAACAACTCGGACCGACTGTGCGGTGTGAGGTCGACATCTGGTGGCGAGTGAGTGTATTGCAGTCGGTGTGAGTCATCATATAAAGAACTTCTTTAGGTTGGCTTTTTCTTATTGATGAGACTTACGCAATGCCATGCCGATAGAAATAGGTCCAACCGTATGTGCTGCTTATGTTTTAATTTACCTCAAAATGTATTATTCTTTACCCCAAGAAAATGCTCAGCTCAGCACATGTTAGAAGAACAAAGCACACAGCCTAAACCCTGACTCGGATGTATGAAGACAGACCATGAGGTTCTAGGTTTGTGGCGGATAGACCGTGATGCTGCCGCTCACATTTCTTCATTCAGTCTGAGCTAAAGTTGGAGCAGCAGCTTCCCGCGCATCTCCCTGTCAGTGTGTGTAAACAGCTGCCTCCTCCTCCTCAGCCTCCGTCTCTGCTCCTGGAGTGGACCGTGCTTCTCCGTGAGCACGGCAGCCGGACTGGAGCATCAGACACTGGTTCAAATTGATGGCGACCAGCTCAGACCGCCGCCCGATCCGGAGACTGCGCTCCAAAAGCGACACCCCGTATCTGTCCGGCCGACTGCAGTTCAACCTGCGTGCAGGTAGGCGCGTCCATACTGCTGCACATGTGTCTTTACGATCCCATACATTACCACAGCTGGGATATGCACATTTTCACAAGGCCACACTAAAGCACTGGCTCATGGAACTTTATCAGTGTTCGTCTGATTGCCGAAGCTATACCTTGTTACAGCAAAATCACATCGGCTCAATGTTACTGTGCAACATTTTAGATGAGTTTGATTTCACCGGATGTTGTAATGCTGGTATCATCCTCTGTATTACATAAGCTATCGTCCCACGCGTGGTGCTGAGGTGCTTCAAAAGCGCCTGGGACATCCGCCGTAAAAACACAGTTTGTTTTGATGAGAGGATGAGGAGCGTCTCGTCGATGGCAGCATCCTCTGTTACCATGGTGACCTGACATTTTTTGACTGGGTGTCAGGTGTGCTGAGCTGTTGTCTTCCTTCATGACCATACTGCCTGAGTGTGATCTTTATTGTAAGCTGCTGTGAAAACATATACTGAGATTTCAGGCTTACTGTACACTGGCCGGGCATCAGGACCAGAAGATTTAAAAAGTGGCTTCACCTACAGTCTTTAAGAAACTGTGTAATGTTATTTTGCTGCAGTGATTGATTTGGGTTTGGTGGTACAAAGTCAGTGATAGTTTAATGAATGAATCCAGGGATGGTGCTTTCTTTGTGATGAACTGTGGAGGGAGGACTGAGACTGATTCACAGGAGTGGGTTACATGCTTACTTGATACTTGCTCTTTCAACAGAGAAGCTTTGGGCAGAATGTGCAAATGCAACACTGGATCTGTAAAGGCTAATATTTTTTTATTTTCAATAGGCCTAGCATCGTTCTGCCTTTTTGTTAAGCATTGTTTTTTGGCTCTGTGCACCATTTGTATTCCTCCTCTTTACAGGACCTCACACTGAGCGTTCGAATGGCACGGGGGCGATTTTTTACAAGAGTGCTTGTTGACTCATTTCCACCTCAAAAAGTAGAGAAGAATTTAGCTTGCTTATTTCCAAGGAAACCAAATACAGTATGTTGGTTGTATGGGTGCTATAGAATTAGATATATGTGTGACTCTGCAAAGATAGATAGACAGTTAATATAAGTTATGCATTCTCACAATACCATAAACCCATCTGAATGCAGAAAAATACTGATTGTTTCCTTTCCTTGCAGACAGTGTTTTAAATTATGCACCAAGACAGATTTTCTATTTTGTTGTTGTTATGATGTTTTGATTTTAAAACGCTTGCAGAGTAACAACACGACCTCTGAATTGAGATAGTTGTTAGCAAAGCCGCTCAAGAAAGTAAACTTTAATTCGGATTTTTTTTTTAAGTTAAAGGGCAAAGACACAGTACTTTATATTTTGTTTATTCTTTTGTGTTCATCCCTTAACTTAAGATAATTTCACATTTTATACATAAATTGAGGTGTGCCGTAGTTTTTGATGCAATTTTCAATATTGTTTTGTGGCATATAACATTACATTACATTACATTTGACATATTTTTAATTCAAGTTTCAGATTAGGATTTAACCAATGAAAATGTGTTAAAATGTGTAAGATCAATAGTGACATAACATTCAACATCCTCTGCAATTCATTGTCTCCAAAAATGGCAATAATTTCATGTGGCGATGGTTGTATATATAGTAGTATTGTGTGACTTCAAAACTGGAAGAAAAGCTCAGGGTGCCAGGATTATGAGGTGAAAATATTGCCCGTTTAGGGTGCACTCACAGCTGCTGGTAGGCGCTGATATGTTTCTTACAATTACCCCTGCAGCACAAAAGGTCTACAGATTTCCTCTTCTGTCTTCCGCTTTCATAAACAAAAAAATGAATAAGTGAATACACTGGTATGCTGCAATGAATGAATGTGCAGAGGCCTGGGGTTTAGCATAAGGAATAGGCTACTTACTTTGCTAACAAATGCTAACTGATGATAATAACACATGTGGTATATTCTTGTCTGCAAGTTAAAGGAGAGCACACAGTAAATCCCTGGTAGTGGATCGCAATGGCTTTACAGTAACATGGTAGCTAACTTTGTATTATATCTCTATTTTTAATGCACTGTGGTTATTTATTATTTTAATCCCTAGTGTGAAGGAGAGGTTCCGCAGGTCTTTCCTTCCTGCTGCGCGGTCAGACTGTACGATGAGGACTGCTGAGTTTGTCCTTCATCTGTAAATAAGTAAATACTGCAATCATGGGCAATGATGTACATTGTATATTTTGTGTGCTCCCTGTGTGCTCTTACTACTGTATTCTATTCTTCTATCCTCCTCCTTCTTTCTGTAAGGCCCACTGTAGGAAAGTAAAAAAATCAATAGACTTCAGATGCATGGGCTCTACCATTTTTACTGCAGTGCACCTCCCAAGGTTCACCTCCCAAGGTTCACGTGAGGTTCTTGCCCCCACCTTCAAATTGACACACATTCAAGCTTTCGTGTTTGTTGTCAAGACAAGAATGTACCTGTGGATCATTTTTCACCTATAACATTCATAGCATAAAACAGGATGTGAGGAATGCTTCACATTTATTCTCCAAATATAGAGCTTGATAATAATAATAACAATAGTGCTAAATTGTGCTGTTTTGGACACTCAAAACAGCACAATGACATTATTCATTGGCTCTGTCTACGGCAGGGCTATAGTTGCCTCTTGAAGTTTATCTATTTGTTCTTTATTATGTCCAGAATATAATCTACTTGGATAGGGTTTAGCATTTGAATTGGTAAATATTTCAATTCTAACTGACTTTGTTAATGTTCCACATGTACCAACAATGATTTTCATTTTCATAATGTTCTTTTTGTAAGAATGACATTTCAGAATCTCATGACCGACTTGTGTTGCATCTCAAAGGAGAGCCGAGAAATCTTCTACACACGGCTGCACCCAGATCTTTATTTTCAGCTGAAGCGTCTCAGCTGGGTCTGAATAAAACATGAATAGAAGAAAATCAGAAGAGAAAATAGCAAAGGCTGAAACTGTGAGCCTCATTTTAGAAGCTCCCAGTGCATAAAAGCTGGTGATGATGAGACTCTGGTCGGAGAATCTGTCAACCCTCCCCAGTGTGAAACAAGCAGGTGCAATGTGCAGGAGGCAGTCCCACTTTTATCCCGGGTGGTTTTCCACTCCATCTGCACCGCACAGTCCCTGAGGTGGTTAACACTCATGCCTCGCGGCAGGAAAGTCGAGGGTTTGATCTCCGGACCTTCTGTGTAGAGTTTACATGTCTCCCTCACCATCTAATAACTTGCACCATAAGTAAAATCCTCCAGCTCCGGTAGAGCGTCAATGCATATTTAGCAAAGTTACACATTTTGGATTCAGTATAAAGCCACTTACAGAACATTCAGAGGACTATAAAATCACACAGTCATCTCTATGACATAATAAATCATTATTCTAAAATAAATTGCCTAATGTTCTTTCTGATAATGGGATCATTGGAACATGGTGATCTGCATGCTTTTATTGCATCAACTACAAAGTTAGTCAGTATGGGATATTAAAATGTATTTCTTTAAAATACACATACGCCACAATGTGTGGCAATTTCCAAATCTGTGACTTCCTGTTACTTACGTGGCAAAATAAATGGTTCTGATTCTGATGTGTATACAAATATGAATTTGATACTGCAACTAATAACTATCTAAGTGCAAAACTAGAAAAAGTTTAAGTGGAGGGGCTGGAGGACAGTCAGATAGATAATATTTACAGAATAAGCTGTTTTATAAAACAAGTGCTATTTTTTGTCATTACTGGTGTTTGTCTTAAAATCACACCTCACAGCACTTACAAGTGTTGGAGTCTGTAAATAGAGCAGTTAACGAATAATCAATTACTTAAAGTCTTGATAATTTGATTAGTTGCCATTAATCAATTAGTCTCTGAGGACCTGCAGACATGAAACATCAAGAGATGCTCACCCTTTGTAGATTAAGATTAAGAGATCCTTTATTCGTCCGCCTAAATTTCAGATGTAGATGTAGACCCTGCACTAAATCAAGATGAATATAACATAATCAGTGCATGTCTTCTCTGCAAAACTCAGATGATTGTTATTTCCCTGTACCTCGATAACTTTAAAGCAGCAGAGGGTTAGCAGTACAGTGTTCTAGGTCATTCTATCCAGAATAATAATTATGATTATATACTGTATTTCAAATCCCTTTGGCAATGGATCAATGCAGAACACTTTGTTCATCAAAATTCATAGAACGTTGTTATTGCAGCCATTATAATGGTTTTCCATAGGCTGAATGACCCATGACATTCAGCCCAATAAATATGTGCTGACCACGTATGATCAAGAAGATGGGCACAGATGATTTATGTAGTGAAAGTAGCAGCAGCAGCTCCCTCTAAACCACATCTGCTGAGTAAGACACTTGGGAGAGCTGGAACTGAATTCAATCAAACCTGCAATGCACCAGTCAGCAACTCCAAAACAGCTCCCCACTCATAACATTTTTTGTGGATGGACCCAACTTGTAATGCCAAAGTCAGTTTATTAAAATACAACTCTTTATTATCAACTCGGATAAATAAACAAAAACAAATTATATATACACATATGTATATATATATATATATATATATGGAAATGAGCAGTCTAGCTATGAACAGAACATGTCTTTGAGCTTAATGTTGCTGGGCATTGTCCCTTTCAATTAAAAACTAAAGATATTTTTAACCTTGTTTATGTAAACTAACTGATTATTTTACAGTATGAATAATAACTAAAATACATCCTAATGTTTTTTTTTTTATTTCAACCTTTCAAATTATGATGTATTGATCCATCAGACCCATCTCAGAAAATGTAATGTCAGAAAATGTGAAAAACTAAGGTAAGGCAGTGAATATGTCAGGCCTCACATCAAAATGGTTCTGTAAAATCACTTCAAATAGAAATAACACGACTAATTCAAATGTGCAATATTATGTAAACACAGACTGAAACATTCAAGTCATTAGTTGATTTGCATCTAATTAATTTGAAAACAAAAATATTGAAGGCAAAACAATAAATTTTAACAGCCATCTCTTAACCAGCGTCAATTCTATTCACATTTTTTCTTGTGGCGCTTTAGAATAGAATATTTATGATAGCCTTTGCCACATTTTGGACAAGAGTACGGTTGGATTCCTGTGTGTAGTCCTGTGTGTTCCACCAGCTGATTGCGCTCTGTGTGTTTACTGGTAAAGTGATCTTTCTGATGTATCATTCTCTTGAAACTCTTGTCACACTGGTCACATTTAAAGGGTCGATCTTCTGTGTGTGCGACCATATTGATCTTCAGAGTGGCTGTGTGGGAAAGTTTTTTCCACAGACCTCACACAGATATGGTTCCTCTCCATTGTGTCGGTCCATGTGCCTTTTAAGTAATCTTCTGAAAAAATACCTTGCCACATGCACAGGAGAAGCCACCTGTGTGTTTGTTCATGTGGACTTTAAGACTGTCCTTTCTGCTAAACTTCTTGTTACAAATGGTGCATACAGCAGGCTTATGAATTGTTTTATGCACTTTTGGTCCATGTTTGAGTAAAGTTTTTTTCCTCATTGTCTCATGGAGTTACACACTTCTTTAAACTAAGCTTGTGCCTTTTCCACAAATTGAGCTTTGTGAAACACCACTGACATGTGTCACACTGAAACAGACGCTTGTTCTGGTGATGTTTCACCATGTCACATAACCTCACAAATCTCCTTTTACATAAACTACAAGGATATGATCCTTTAACTCTGTGCAAACTATAATAGTGCCTCTTCAATAGGATTATGTTTGAGAATGTTAGTTCACACAGTGTGCACTTCAGGGTGCGGCTTTTGGTTGTTGTGTTGTTCTCCGATTCTCCAATACCGAGATCAAAATTTGTCTCTGGATTGTTACCAGTGACATTTTCGTTTATGTTGCAAGGTTCAATCGAAATAGAAGGAAGATTCTGGTTTTGAGGGAAAAGTTCATGTCCAAACTCTTCAAAATAGTCCTCATCACTATTATCTGCAGAAATGTCTCCGCTGGAAGGTAGACGTCTGAGAAGTACTAGACACTGCTGGTATTCTCTCGGAATGCCATTCATATCAGTGACATTAACATTCATCAGAGTCTTGCTTCCCTCATTTACATTTTGCTGGTGAAAGTTATGTTCATAGTTATTCAAATCTAATCCACATTCTTCGCTGTGGACTTTCATGTGGCTAATCAAATCTACAGATCTGGTAAAACCTTGTCCACATTTAGAGCACGTCTTAATTCGTTTGCTTCTTCTGCTTCTTTTGCTCCATCCTTGAGAGATTTTTGAACTCTTGGACTTTGGCGGTGAAGTTGACGATTGGGCTGCTGTTCGGTTCTCCTCTTCATTTCTCACCATGCAAACTTTCTGGTGTTCCAGCAGAGTCTTGTGTGTGTAAACTTGCCTACATAAGGGGCACACCATATGCTCACTGTCAACATTGTGTTTTGAAATTGCCACGTTGACATTCTTTCTATCGTTTTCGTTACGATCTCCTGAACACCTGGAGGCACTGTGTTCTGTGAGTAGATTGAAAGTCTCAAAGTTTTGACCACAGACAGGACAAATGAAGGAATCCTGTCTTTTAGATTGTCTCTGACACAAGTTTATGACATCATAGAAGTCAGCGGCTTCGTCGTCAAGAGAAAGAGTGACTTCCACTGACGGAGCACAATCCTCTGTCCCGTCTGTAAGTATTCCTTTAGAATCAGTGCTCTGGAAAGGCATGGTGTTACTTTCTACCTGTTGGTCTGGTAAATCAGAGAAGCCTGGCAAACTACCACTGGAATAGAGCCCTGTTGCAATGAAAAATTATTTTAAGTAAAGACAAAATTTAGAGCAACGCAAAATAAGTTTGATGTTACCTGTTGAAAAAGTGGAGTTTTGTTTATGGTGTTGGAGGAGGTTACTGAGCGGTTCAGGTTGATCTAAAATATCCTCACATTCCTTCAAGACTGAAGGACACAGCCGGAGCCACAGAGAGGTCTATAATATAGACATACATTTTGTGTTCACTGGATTACTTATATATTTGTACAAGTTCGGTCATAAAATAACTTGATCTGGTGAAAATAGTTTACTTGATCAAGACTTGGAACAGGGAGTATGCTATCCAAAGTCAAAAAGAATTTTGTAACAAGTGTCTGCAGAGATGAATCAAATGTGCTGTCAAACTCTGACAACAAAGATTTCTGAAAGAAACAAATAAATTATTGAATGTGTCAGATTAATATCTTTCCACTCTTAACAACGACTCACCTGATCAGACATTTCCAATTTCCCTGGATTATCCAACATCGAGTAAACAACTTGTGTAAACGCCTTCCACTTTGATTGTGATTCCTTTGAAATATAATGCAACATAATTGTTTGCTGAGATCCATCGGTTGCATAACTTGAAATGCTGGCCTTTATTGATAACCACAATAACAATATAGTATACAAACCCCATCATCTTTCTTCATAAGATCGTCCATCTTCGACAAAAGAGGCTCAATATTGTGTCTATTGCACAAGTCATCATGGTTCCACATCTCTAACACAGTCTGTTGGGAAAAACAACATGTTACTAAAAAAAGAACTACTCGTCCGTGAGGACTCCCACCACTCTGAAATCCTAGAACTCCAAGAGCCGTCATTTTGACTGCTCTCATTCAAACTAAAGGAAATCCATGAAATTGCTCCACAAATGACAGATGTATTAAAAGTATGTAATTTATATTATTTAGAACTTTAGTAAAGGCTAGTGAATATAACTGGAACTACAGCAAAAGCAGATTGTTAAAAGGCTACCAAATGCTAACTGGTAGCAAGCAACCTTAACGTTGCCATGGTAACTAGTGGTGGCTCTACTCTGGAAGGTAAAAGGTAAAACAACTCTCAATTCAAAAGTAAAAAATAATGCAGCCAAAGAAGGTTAAACTGGTGAATGTAACTTGAAATACAACAAAAAGCAGTTCGTGGAAAGGCTACCAAAAGCTAACTGGTAGCAAGCAAACATGTTGCTATGGTAACCACCGGCTCTACTCTGGGAGGTAACCATGGATCTACGAGGTAGCGAAGAACTACTCTCATATCAAAATTAAAACATAATTAAATAACAAATAATGACAGAAACAATCTACAAATAGAAAGAGAAAATGTCAAAGTTATGAAGACAAAACAATTATATACGTTAAGTAATTACACCTACAAAACTAAAAGCCGTAACATTGACTGCTGTCATAAACTGAAGACGTGTACCTTTGCCCGTAAACCCATGAGAATATGCAGGCGCTCGGAGTGGCTGATTACACCCGGGATGTTGTCGTGCACAGCGGTGATGAAGTCCTCCAGCAGCCCGTAGTGCTTCACGGCTCTGTGCTGCACGATTCCCCACAGAGCTGCAGACATGAGCCGCAGAGGAGAGACCAGCAGGCGGAGGGAGGACAGAGGAATCCCGACTGACCAGAGCACAGCAAAATACATTATTAACTTAACGCATGGCTACAGTTATTAGCCTGATAGCTTTAGGAGAGGGGCTGACAGCTGCACTTACATTGGTCAGTAGAAGGTTCGGTCATGTTGGTTTATAAAGTCTTTTCACCATAAAAACATGAGGCAGATTCAGAGACACAGCGGTTATGAAGCCTCTACTGCCACAGAGAAAGACTCATGTGGCAGCGATCATCAGTTTTGACGTTGTTTTGACGCTCTTCGGTTCATTCTTTCTTCTTCAGGATTAAGAGCGATTTAGGCTTGTGTTCGTTAGCGCCATCGCATGGACAGAACAGCGAAATGGTTCAATTTGTGTTTTAATATTGTAATTTTTTGTAATACTTGGAATAACTTGGAATACACTTGCGTCGGCAGGAAAACAAAAAACAATGTCAGTATCGTCTGTGCTTAGATTCCACAATTTAGAATTCAGGTTCAATTTAACTTTATTCAACAATGATCATAAAGTATGTATATAAGACTCCCCTCTGACCCCTGTGACGGCTTCAGCACAGAACATTTAACCAGACTCTCATCTCCTGTGTCGTCCTGTTTTCTCTTGTTCTCCGGTTGCACAATATTTTGCAACATTTTCTTTTTGAAGCAATCACATTAGATTCCGCAAAAGTATCAATCAATCAATTTTATTTATTGATTTATTGGCAGTTGAGTTTGCAGGATGTCAACAGTAAAAGAGAGTATTTAATAAATTAAATAATCATATTCAGACACATTTTTCATGCATCAGGAGCTACAATTGGTGCGATAATACAATATCCATTTCTCTGCATTGGATCAAGAGTATAATTTTGTCGTTCCACTTTTTACCCAAAATACCAAAATACTATTATACTTGAGACAAATTAGGCAGTAATAACGTGTGTAACAGAACTGATTATTATTTCAGTAATTATACAGTTAATTAGTCACTTCTGTTAGATGAACATGACACTCTTAACTTGATTCATGTAAATGAATTCCAAAAGTGTTGAGCCAGTTACTCCAAAATGTAATATATCATATATTTGGTAAAACAACAATTCTTGACAGCTGAAATGTTACCAACATGTGAAAGGACATTTCTTCTTTTTACAATGAAATGTATAAACACTTTTTTTCTTGATGTTTCTTCAGATAAGTCAATCGCTCGAAAGACATTCCACATAAAAAACACGTATGTGGATAAACCCCAGTGTGCTTGATCATATGTTCCTTAAGACTTCCGCTGTACTTGTACGCTTTACTGCAGACAGGGCACACGTGCTCCCTGAGATTCAAATGCATGGTTCTGATGTGAACTTTCAGAACTCTCTTCCTCTTAAAACTCTTGTCACACTGGTCACAGTGAAAGGGTCGCTCATCTTTGTGCTTAACCATATGGATCTTCAGAGTGGCTGGAGTGGGAAAGCCTTTTCCACAGACCTCACACAGATATGGTTCCTCTCCATTGTGTTGGTCCATGTGCCTTTTAAGGAATGTCTTTTGATGAAATACCTTGTTACAAATTGAACAGGAGAATCCACCTGTGTGTCTGTTCATGTGTAATCGAAGACAGTACTTTGTGCTAAACGTCTTGTTACAAATGGTGCAAACAGTAGACTCCCTCTTTATCATATGGGCTTTTTGATCATGTTTGAGTACTCCAGAATTCAGACAGCTCTGTCCACAAGTCTCATAAACATTTGGAGTTGCACATGTGTTTAATCTTATTTTGTGCACTTTACAGAAATTGAGCTTTGTGAAACACCACTGACATGTGTCACACTGGAACAGACGCTGGTTCTGGTGATGTTTCACCATGTCACATAACCTCACAAACCTTCTTTTACATGAAGGACAAGGATATGATCCTTTAACTCTGTGCAAAGCAAAATAGTGCCTCTTCAATAAGAATATGTTTGAGAATGTTAGCTCACACAGTGTGCACTTCAGGGAGTGGCTTTTGGTTGATGTGTTGTTCTCAGATTCTCCAAGTTGGAGAACAGGATTTGTCTTTGAATTGTTCCCAGTGACATTTGAGTTTATGTTGCAAGGTTCAATCAAAATATAACATTGATTAACATTCTGATGCTCATCTAAATTCTGTCCAAACTCTGACGAGTCCACATTACTGTTGTCTGCAGTAGTGTCTCTGCAGCGCGGGAGACGTCGAAGACGAACTACACACTCTTTGTATTCCTTTGGGGTGTCGTTCATTTCAGTCAAATCATTATCCATCAAAGTTTTGTTTTCCTTGTAAACATTTTCTTGGTGAAAGTTATGTTCATAGTTGTTCAAATCGATTCTACATTCTTCACTGTGGACTCTCATGTGGCTTGTAAACTCTACACAGCTGGTAAAAGTTTCTTCACATTTGGCGCACGTCTTTCTTTGACTGCTTCGTTTGCTCCGTTCTTTAAAGATTGGTGAACTCCTGGAGTTTGGCGGTGCAATTAAAGATTGGGCTGCAGTGCGTTTCTCCTTCTCGTATCTCACTACACAAACCCTCTGGTGTTCCAGCAAAGTCTTGTGTGTGTAGACCTGGCTACACAAGAGGCAAACTATGTTCTCACTCTCCATGTTGGGCTTTGAATCATTCTTCACCGACAGAGTATTTGCTATGGAATTGAAATTGAGCTGAATTGTATCGTCTTCATAACTATCTCCTGAGCACCCAGAGGCACTGTGTTCTCTGAGTAAATTGAAACTCTCAAAAGTCTCACTACAGAGGTCATCATCAAAAGAAAGAGTGACTTCTACTGACGGAGCACAATCCTCTGTCCCGTCTGTAACGTCTCCCTTTGTATCAGTGCCAGGGTATTGTATGGTGTCACTTTCCACCTGTTGCTCTGCTGAATCATAGAAGCTTGGGAAATAGTCATTAGAATAGAGCTCTGTAGAAAAAAAAAATACGTTTAATGATGACAAAATAGCATAATAACATAATGCCTTACCTGTTGAAAAAGTAGACTTGTGTTTATGTTGTTGGAGGAGGTTACTGAGGGGTTCAGGTTGATGTAAGATATCCTCACACTCTTTCAAGACTGAGGGACACAGCCCGAGCCACAGACAGGTCTAAAAAAATAACAAAACATTAGCAACTTTCTTTAGAGACATATTTTCTATGTGGCTGAAGTCACTGAGGTTTGTGATGGAGACTCGGTGGAAAGGCACCAGGAGTGGATGAAATCTTGCAAACTTTAATCACAATTCCAAATAAAATAGAGACTTTTGCCTATGCCTGCATGTAAAAGCCAGATCCTGTCAGACCTCTGAGGCTAAGCAGGGCAGGGCCTGGTTATTACTGTGATGGGAGACATCTGGGAACACCAGGTGCCACAGGTGCCACAGTAAGAGCTGAATTTCCGTTGTGTTTTTAGGCAAGACACTTTACCCACAATGCCTAGAATGTGTCTGTGTGTGTGTATGTGTGTGTGCGTGCATGCGTGTGAATAGGTGGTGGTACTGTTAAGGAAGTTTCTACCCAATGAAGGAGGAAACTCAAAGGTCCTTTGTCTGATCAAAAGCGTAAGTTTATTGTTAACGCACAGTGCGGAGAGCCAGCACATACACTCCAAAAGCAGCATGTCCCAGCTCTGGGGGCCAGAGCCCCGAGCTTCCTGTATACAAGACACACACCAAAGATAGTCACGCCCACAACGGAGCGGAGGGGGCCACCGGTGAGGAGGCGCACAGGAAGCGCCGGCGCTATCCCCTGTGGTGGCAGTGGCATGGGGTGTGAACAGACAGACAATGGTGGAAATGCAGGTCATACAGATGCAAGACGGAAAGACACAAGGGTGTGACAGACAGCAGGGACCTTCACAAAGCTCAGCATGGCGTCAGAAGGTCGTCTGCATTGATAAAAGGCCTTTGACGTCCGTGTATTTGCTGCGGCTGGTTTTAATGTAATTACTCCAAAAACTGTCACCACAGTACTCAGAAGGGTCGAAGGCTTATACTGGTTGCTTCACTTCAGTCAGTGTGCCCCAGGGCGTCTGTGGCTGCAGCAGTAGTAGTTTATGCCCACTGTGTATTGAGTGAATGACTAATGACATGTTTAGCATCTTTGAATGTCTGCACAGCTGCTTAGACTGCTGCCCATCAATCTGGCAATGGATAAAGTAAAAGAAAATGAATGGATGGATGAAATCATGAACTTACTCAAAATAACTTGCCTGATCAAGACTTGGGGTAGGGAGCAAGTTTTCCAAAGTTACAAGTAGTTTTCCTACAAGCATCTGGAGATTTGAATCAAATGTGAATTCAAACTCTGAGGACAAAGGTTTCTGAAAAAAACAAATGATACCAATATTATTATTATTTTTATAGATTGACTAACCATATTGTGAATAATTACAAAGACGTACATTTGTTACTGGCTGAAATGTATACGTTTGAAAAAGCTTGCAATGAGCTTCCCCATTTGAAAGACTGGATTCACGAGAACAAATAAATAAATAATAATAATAATAATACTGGTAATAATATATTTTATTCCAATTGACCTTTCAACACACCCAAAGACATTGAACAAGATAGGGATAAAAACGTCAAAAGTCAAAAGTGTTAAATAAACTCAAGATTATATTTTTATCAAGAAGAGTGAGAAGATGCTCATGACAGATACATTCAGAGTGACTGACCTGATAAAACAAATCCCGCTCAAGTGGATCCTCCAACATCGAGTGAACAAGTTTTGTAAAATCACAAAGTGACGCTCTCATCTTTGATTGAGATGTCTTAAAAAATGCAACAAAAATTTAGTTGATGCAATATGTCACATGGACAATCTCATCTCACCTCATCTTCTTGCAGCATGATAAGATCGTCCATCTTGATCAAAAGAGACTCGATATGTTGTTTACAGCTCATGTCGTCACGGTTACACATCTCTAACACCATCTGTCGAAAAATGTGACAGATACAATTCATGGCGATGTTTTAGGCAAGGCAAGTTTATTTATATAGCACAATTCATACACAAGGCAATTCTAAGTGCTGAACAAAACAAGAAAGCATTAAAATCATAAATAATCACAGAACATTAAAAAGAAAGATAAAAATATAAAATCCCTCAGTTGTATGCACAGCTAAACAGCACAGTTTTTAACCTGGTTTTAAACATTGTCAGAGAGGAGGCCTGTCTCACATCGTCAGGAAGACTGTTCCAGATTTTAGCAGCATGAATCTGAAAAGCAGCCTCCCCATGTTTAGTTCTGACTCTGGGCACTAACAGGAGTCCAGTCCCTGTGCTCCTCAGAGTCCGGGCTGGTTCATATGGGACTAACATGTCACTAATATATTTTGGTACGAGGCTATGGAGAGACTTGTACACAAGCAGAGCTGTTTTAAAGTCTATTCTCTGAGCCACAGGAAGCCAGTGCAGAGACCTGAGAACTGGACTAATGTGGTCGTACTTCCTGGTTCTTGTCAGGACTCGAGCTGCTGCATTTTGAATGTACTGCAGCTGTTTTACAGCCTGTTTGGACAGACCTGTGAGCAGGCCATTGCAGTAGTCTAACCTACTGGAGACAAATGCATGGATAAGAATCTCCAAGTCTGCTTTAGACACTATGTTTTAGATCCTGGCAATGTTTTTAGATGGTAAAAAGCTGCTGATGTTACTGATTTGATGTGGCTATTAAAATTTAAAGTCTGAGTCCAGTATTACCCCTAGATTTCTGACCTTGTTTGAAGGTCCCCCAAAGTACATACATGCTAGCGCAACATGATCAGACGCAAATTCTGAGGAGCACAGGAACCGGCCTCCTGCTGGTGCCCAGAGTCAGAACTAAACATGGGAAGGGCGGCAGCATTTCAGATTTATACAGCTAAAATCTGGAACCGCCTTCCTGAACATGTGAGACAGGCTTCTTCTCTGACAATATGCAAAGCCAGGTTAAAACAGTTCTGTTTAGCTGTGCATACAACTGAAGGATTGTACATATTGGATTTACTGTGATTATTTATGATTGTGACTGTGTTATCCAAATAAACTAAAGTGACCCAAGCAACTTTCTGGAAATGGAAAGCGAAAAACCTTAAGATATTGAAACATTCTCAACATATATAGGATGCGTTATATCATACTGTGAAAGAGTACTGGGATTATCCAAGGAAAACCACGCCCACACAAAGATCCCAGCGACAACAAAAAAACAAATGCACCAATTTTTTTTATCTTTTGGCGAGAAGGACAACGGATCTCCGACTTGTACCTTTGCCCTTAAGCCCAGGAAAACGTGCAGGCGCTCGGAGTGGCTGATTACACCCGGGATGTTGTCGTGCACAGCGGTGATGAAGTCCTCCAGCAGCCCGTAGTGCTTCACGGCTCTGTGCTGCACGATTCCCCACAGAGCTGCAGACATGAGCCGCAGAGGAGAGACCAGCAGGCGGAGGGAGGACAGAGGAATCCCGACTGACCAGAGCACAGCAAAATACATTATTAACTTAACGCATGGCTACAGTTATTAGCCTGATAGCTTTAGGAGAGGGGCTGACAGCTGCACTTACATTGGTCAGTAGAAGGTTCGGTCATGTTGGTTTATAAAGTCTTTTCACCATAAAAACATGAGGCAGAGCCAAAAACATCAACAATATCTCAAGCTCTCACTACCACAACCAGATAAACCTCTTGTGCCAGCGATCACTGTGTCCGTGCTTTCCTCCGATTGTTATTTTAATACATAGACCGTATATTATGGTTTAATAATAGGGCAGGAAATGCTACAACCACACTACCGCCACCTACTGTCGATCATAGGTCATAGACACCGCAGCAGAATAAAATACTCAATTCAATTCAACTTTATTAGAGGTCCAATTTAAAATATACAGACAGACGAGACAAAAAATAACAAACAGTTATTACTTTAAAAGACAGCCATACTTGTGTCTCCACATCTTGGACTGAACCTGTCACTCCAATCTGTCAACGCTGGTATTTTTTCTGACCTGTTCATACTGTACTTCTATCATTCTGTAGCTCTTTCATTAAGAGTTTATTGTACCGGTACAAAAGCATCACCAAGTACAAAATATCTTGTCTACATTAAAATGTATTTTGTAACATTTAGTCCTTAAGGACGAAACCTGTATGAAAGTCCTGTCTTTGGTGTAAAGGTGCATTACTTACTATAACCTTGTTTTTCCTCACTTTATGTATTTTTGTTATTCTTAGTTGAATTATCAGATGAAGTGAATAACACACACTTTTTTCTTGAGGTCAGAATTGCATTACAGTAATTTATTCATTTTGTTCATGTAAAGTAACTGATACCAAAGACGGAAAAATTCTAAATGACTGCTCTGAATCTAAATATATTTTCTTGGTTCATGTATTGAGTCAGGCTTCTCTCTGATCCGTCCTCACGTGATCAAAGGTATAAAAGAACACTTATTACTAAAAATGTGTATTGAAGATATACTCAATTTAGTGTCCATACTAAAAAACAACACCACAAATATGACAATTGGACATCTGAGAAATTTTATTTATTAATTCGTCATTCGTCTTCCTAAATGTAAGAACATCGAGTTGTAGTATGATTTCATTCCCACACTATTTTTATTAGTTTGTATGACGAGTATATAGTCTGTCATTCAAACACATAAGTCCACAAAACATCACACCAGATTCCTAAAGAAAAACCCCAAATCACAACAATTTAAAATCTTAAATTGCAGTGTTAAACAGCAAATCAAATATGATGCAACGTTCATAAAATATTTACAGTGGCCCCCAGAACAAGATTACAATTCAAGATCGTTATGAGAAAGCTTGAGCTAGAGCCACAACATGCTTAACACACCGTACTTATATACAGTTCTCTTTTCTGTGTTTTCTAAATAGACACAACCGGCCAAATCCCTTCCCACATTTTAAACAGTAATGTAGATAAGCCCCTGTGTGCTTCATCATATGTAACCGAAGGGCTCCACTCTGCTTGTACGTTTTATCACAGAGATGACACGCGTACGGCCTGAGATCTGTGTGTTTGTTTCGGATGTGTAACCGCAGACTAATATCCCTCTTGAAAGTCTGATCGCACTGTTCGCATTTGAATGGTCGTTCGTTCGAGTGCTTCAACATGTGGACTTCCAGGTACCTTAAAGTGGGCATGCCTTGTCCGCAGATCTCGCATAGATATGGTTCATTTCCGCTGTGTCTGTCCATATGCCTCCTTAGGTAGGTCTTTTGATTAAATACCTTTCCACATATCGGACAAGAGAAGCCACCGGTGTGTCTGGCCAGATGGACTTGAAGGGTATGCTTGGAGCTGAACGTCTTGTCGCAGTGCAAACAAACAGGCGGATCATTTTTGATATTGGTTTCACAAGTCTCATTTTTACTACAAGACGCAGAATTTTTGTACATCCCTGGATCATAAATTGTTGGCATTTTACAGGTGTTTTTGAAACGTACAATGTGGCATTTCCAGGTGTGCTTGGTGAAACACCTCTTGCATGTCGCACACTGATACTGCCTCTGGTTCTTGTAATGGCTCACGATGTCTCTTAGCCTGACAAAGGTTGTGTTACAGCCGCTGCAGTTGAACGAACCTTTCACAACATGAGACCTAAAGTAGTGTCTGTGCAGTTGGAAAACATCAGGACATGTTTGATTGCACACCGCACATTTCATCGTCGCCGTGCTGTTGTCGGGTTCACTTTGGTTTGTTTGGGGGCCACTTCCGGTCCCCGTACTGTTTTCTGTGGCTTCAGCAGAGGAGTTAAGATTACAAGGTTCGATCACGCTGGGAGGCGTTTTTATCTCTGGTATCTCACTTCCCACAGTCACAGTGATAATTTCAGATGACAACAAGCTCTGGTCTCTTTCAGGAGACAAGCGTTGAAGAAGAACTGTGCACTCTTTAATTTCATTCTGTTCTTTGAGGTTTTGGATGGATTGGACATCAATTAAGGTTTTAACGCTTTTCTCGCCACTGTTCTTCCGAAACTCCACATTTTTATTGCTGACGAAAGTGGGTGACGCCTCAAGTTCAATGTGGACTCTCATGTGTCTTGTCAACTCAACAGAAGAGGTAAAGGCTTGTCCACACGAGGAGCAGATCCTCATTCGACTGCTTTTATACAGATCTCCTTTAGGTGTGTCTGAAGTACCGGCCTTCTGTTGTGAGGCTGGACACCAAGTTTCATCATCGCCGGAGATTCTTGAAGCTCCAGGATAGTTCTTCTCTGGGTCAGTAGTTGCTTTATCTATTCTCTCTGTCCTCTCACTTTCTGAATGCACCATTGTTTTTGCCCGTTTCACTTCAATAGTCTTTTCTTTAATACAATCTTCAGAGCATCCAGTCATACTGTGACGGTTTAATTCAAAAAGGGTATTAAATCTTTGTCCACAGAAAGCGCATTTAAAACATTTCTTGCCCACATATTTTTCCTGATGTACACGATGTGTGAAATCGGGGCTATAGTCTTCCTCATCATCATTAAAAGAAATTGTGACTTCCATAGATGGTGGTTCATTTCCTTTTGTATGGGAGCTGCTCTGGAATTGTGTGGTCTTACTTTCCATCTGTAGGTCTGGTGAGAAGTTTGAAAAGATCGAGTTGTTAGAATACAAGACATAGGTAATGAGCAGAACATGCACATTAAAGGTGTCACATACGAATAGTTATGGCTCACTCCACACTAAATTGTACCAATGAGTTACATTTGGGTCAATGACACAAAAAAGTGTCATTGACCCAAATTATTGCTGAATGTTTACAGCACCCACTTTTTTCCAGCTTGTTTGTCCAGTGAAGGGGGCACTACTAAAAAACACCGATTCATTCACACTGGTAATATTAATAGCGCTCCAGCCGCTTTGGACGTAACAACAAGAGGACGCGATGTGTTACGTCCACAACGCCAAGTTTGTCAACATTTATTGTTTTTGGTTTTTTAGCATAATGTTAATGTCCTGTTAATTATTCGGTTCTCAAAGCCTCCAACATGTCCTAAATTTAACAGTTCTGTCCCCAAAGTTCAATAATTATTTTTTGACAGGCATCTACACTACCGTTCAAAAGTTTGGGGTCACATTGAAATGTCCTTATTTTTTAAGGAAAAGCTGTAGATAACTTTAAACTAGTCTTAACTGTAAAGAAATGCACTCTAAACATTGCTTATGTGGTAAATGACTATTCTAGCTGCAAATGTCTGGTTTTTGGTTCAATGTTGTAATTGCTGGAGGATTCTTTGACGAAAGCAAAGTTGGATGTAAAACAAATCATGTTTCAAATACAAATCATTATTTCTAACCCTGTCAATGTCTTGACTCTATTTTCTATTCATTTCCCAACGTATGGTGGTGAATAAGTGTGACTTTTCATGGAGAACACTTGGGTGACCCCAAACTTTTGAACAGTAGTGTATTTTCTTGCAATAGTTTTGAGCTGCCCATCTGAGATTATCCTATGTAACTATTTAGTAATACATAATCATTAGGTACAAACATTTTTAGATCATACATTTACTTCATTACTGCTTGAAGTGGGTTTTACACAATGTACAGTTTAGTGTGAAGTCAGCCATACATTTGATCCCGTTTATCATTTACCTTGTCCTGATAAAGTCTCGCTCATTTTGCTTCACTGTCGCTTGAGAGTCACCGTGAACACTCTCCACAGCTGCAGAAAGATAAACATTCCAGATTAAAGCATGTAATAACAGTGTTTGGGTTTACACCTACACACAAGAGCGTCAGACGTAGTGCTTACCAGCTAACATGGGTCTCCCTGTTCCTGCTCAGTAAGATGTCTGACTGCTTATAAAAGCTTTGCACATCCGTTTAAAGTTGTATCATGGCTTTGCAGTGCACATGAAATAACTAACGGGCATGTTGAGAGTATAGACTAGAGCTAGGGTTCAGAGCCAGAGCAAGAATGTTTTATTTCCTGTTTGACACCGGAGCACGTCAGCGCCCTCTACCGGAGACTAGTGGCTGCATCCAGAACATACAGTCTATGATCCAGAACGATCAGACCACACTGCAGCACATTATAAAATATGGTAATAATTTGGTAATAATTGCTTGAATCTAGTGGGGTTTTTTTGTATATTAATTTGAGTACGTTCTGACTGTCTTAAAACTAGATGGGCCATCAGGACAAAGCCATTTAGTCTTATTTCAAGAAATGTTGCTTTATTTTCTCATTCCAAGGGATACGTTTCTTGTATCTTTTTAAAACAAGTTCATTTTGCTTTTTCCATTGGCAAATCTTGTTTTAAGGCAGTCAAAAGGCAGTAAAATTAAGATACATTTGGCCAAATTTCGGGCCTTTTGAAATATTTGTCATAACTTTTTTGCAGTGCATAGACTGTTTACATTCAGTTTTTTTGTGTTATAATCATCAACTATAACACTGCTTCATTGTAAAGGAAGGTTTCTCTCCCATCATCTGTACTTCTTAGCTGGTTTTCCCGACGTCCTTAATCCAAAGAACTTTTTCAAGGGAATGAAATCTCAGGCCGCACGTTGGAAATGTATAACCTATGGGTGTGGTTAGAAAACACACCCTAATCCTGAGG